TCTTTTCCTTGTATCCAAGTTCCAGCCACCCTTCCATCTTCTGGCAGCGTGTCTGTACCTTCTCAAACTACTTCTCCACCCACGAGTTTACCATCCAGTCCTTTTACCAGCCCTGCATCTCATCCTTATGAACCTCAGCCTGACTTAATTGATATAATACAAGCCGTTGAACCTCCTGCTCATGCTAGACCTCTTAGGCATCGAATTCGCCCTAAGAAACTGAATGATTATGTGTGTTGTGTTGATTCTGGTACTGTTCATTTTCCTTTGTCTGATGTGGTTACATATGATAATCTGAGTGATTCCCATAAGCATTATGTCATGTCTATCACTGACGTTGTTGAACCTAGTTGTTATAAAGATGCAGTTCTTGATGAGAAATGGGTTCAAGCAATGAACCTAGAGTTGGCAGCCCTTGCCAAAACAAATACATGGACACTTACCGAACTACCTGCTGGCAAGAAGGCCATCGGTTGTACCTGGGTTTATAAAGTCAAATTTAAGGCAGATGGTTCAGTTGAAAGGTATAAGGCTCGTCTTGTAGCCCAGGGATTTACTCAAACCCCTGGGATAGATTATTTGGATACATTCTCTCCTGTTGTAAAGCATACTACTGTTAGGTTAGTTCTAGCCTTGGCTGCAATTAACAATTGGTATTTACATCAGCTAGATGTTAACACTGCTTTTCTACATGGTGATTTGTATGAAGAAGTCTACTTGAGACCACCTCCTGGTCTGTCTTTGCCTTCTAATTCTAAGAATATTATTTGTCGTTTAAACAAGTCTTTATATGGTTTAAAACAGGCAAGCAGGCAGTGGAATCACAAGTTAACATCTTTTCTGGTTGCTGCTGGTTTTGTTCAGTCTAAGGCAGATTACTCTTTGTTCATTAATAAGTCTGCTAAATCTTTTACTGTTGCTCTTGTATATGTTGATGACATCATCTTGACCGGTAATGATCTTTCTGTTATTCAGTCTCTTAAGAGTAAGTTAGATGCAGCATTTACAATTAAAGATCTTGGAGAACTTAAATACTTTCTAGGCTTTGAGATAGCAAGGACTTCTAAAGGGATTTCTCTCTGTAAAAGAAAATATGCTTTAGATTTGCTTGCTGATTGTGGTTTGTTAAGTGCTGAACCTGCAGATTCGCCTTCCACACCTGGTCCAAAGCTCTCTGCCAAGTCCGGTAACCTTCTTTCTGACATTTCTGTTTACAAGCGTTTAATAGGAAGATTGCTTTACTTGTGCAACACAAGGCCAGACATCTCATATGCTGTCCACCAGTTAAGCCAGTTTAATCATGCTCCAACTGATGTACATATGAATGCTGCTGAACGAGTTCTCAAATACATTAAGGCTAGTCCGGGTCAAGGGTTGTTTTTCTCTCAACTTTCTTCCCTTCGGTTGCATGCCTTCTCGGATAGTGACTGGGCAGGTTGTCCAGATTCTAGACGATCTACCACAGGCTTTTGTGTTTTATTAGGTAATTCCTTGATAAGTTGGAAGTCCAAAAAGCAACAGACCGTATCACGATCCTCTGCCGAAGCAGAATATCGAGCCATGGCCATGTTAACCTGTGAAATCCTTTGGCTTAGATATGTATTGCATGATCTGGACATTACTTTTGCTGCCCCTACTGCTGTGTATAGTGATAGTCTTTCTGCTATAAAGCTTGCTGATAATCCTGTGAATCATGAACGTACTAAGCATATCGAAATTGATTGTCATGTCATATGTGATCAGATCATTGCAGGGAATATCAAGGTAATGCATGTTTCCTCTTCCAATCAATTAGCCGATATGTTCACGAAATCGTTGCCGGTTGCAGTTTTTCAGGGTATCATGTCCAAGATGGGTCGTCTAGATATCTACGCCCCAGCTTGAGGGGGGGTGTTGCCGGAAGATACTGATGTGAAGACTTAAGGATGCTGGTGTTCTGTTCTGAAGTCGGTTTATAGTGAAGTCGGTTTATAATGTTAAGGATGTCATATAGGTTTATTTTGGGCACCTGACAGAACTTTAGCTTAGTATATATGGTCTGTAATAGTCTGGATCAGATCAAGTTTTGGGAAAGTAAATATCACACCGCTACCGCTCAAACTTATCTCTAAAAATCCTCCCAACTCTTACTGTCATATCATGTGGGGCGATACTTAGCAGCAATCTCCTCTGCTTTCAGCAGCTCTTCGCCTCGTTTCGCTTCGGTCATGGCTCTCATCTCCTCGGCTTGCTTGTGGATTTCTGCGATCTTGTTCTTCATCTTCTCGGCGTACTCTGCTTTCTTCTTCTCCAGTTGTTCCTCTAGCTTCTTGAGCTCCGCCTCGATGTTCGCTTTCTTGCTGTTCTCCCATGACTCGATTGCAGAGAGCTTCTTCTGAGCTCTGGTTCCCGGAAAACAGGTCAAAAACCCAAATAGGCACTGGAAATGGAGAAAAGGGAAGGGAATGAAAGGAGAGTTGGAAGGTTTTCTTCTTACTTGTTCTCAGCTTTGCTCTTCTCGGCCTCTTCCCAAGCTTTGATGAGAGAAGTCCGCTTCTCTGTTTCAACTCTGGCAAGCACAGCATCTAAAAACCCACACCCAGCACAGCAAACAAACAAACAAACAAACAAAGGAAAAAAGGTACTTCCTTTATTCAACCAAACCGAAGCCATGAAAATCTGGAACTCAGAAAGGGAAAAGGGTTTGTGAATTACCTCGATTGATAGAGCCCTCGGCAGGCTTTGCCTCTTCCACTGCAGCTTCTGCCACCTCTGTTTCCCCAAACCAACCAACCCCAATAAAAATCAATTTTTGTATACATTAACAAAGATTTCAGAGGTAATTTGGGGACATGAAAGGGGGAATTTTATATATGCAAGGCAAAATTTAACAGTATGCTTTTAGTCGGCAGGCAGTCAGTGGCTCACTCTCTGGCAAGTCCTCTAAAAACAGAGCAAAAGGGTAAAAAAGAACGAAATTTTGGCAGAGTTGTAACAAAATAATCAGAACCCAGAAAGCAAAGTGGAGGGGAAGATAGGTAATTACTCTCAACGGGAACGATGGCCTTGGAATCATCAGGTTTATCGGACTTTTCCTCTGAAGGAGGAGTGACCGGAATTACGGATTTCTCCTCGGCCACGTCCTTTGGTGGTTCGTCAGCAGGAGCGGCAGCTGCTGGAGGATCGGCGGCGGGAGGGGCGGGGGCAGGGCATTCGGGTTCGGCCTTCTTAGCTTCTTCTTCTGCCATGGATTAGAACGTTGAGAAGCTGAAAAGGAGAAAAGGTGGCAAGGAATTGAGGGGTGTTGTGGGAAGAGAAACGGAAAAGGGGAATGAATAACGGAGAAGCTGCTGTAGAAAGGAAGGGAAGGAAAATGAGAGTTGGGTTGGGTTGGGTTGGGTTGGGTTGGGTTGGGTTGGGTTGGGTTGGTTTGGTTTGGGGTTGGCGAAGGCGGGTAACGTCTACTGTATAATACCTCTCTCTCTCTCTAGTCAAGTGGCCAAATGCCAACTGGATTTTTGTATTATATTTTCACGGCTATTTATTTTTATGTTAATATTTGGAAATTTGATATAATTAAGTAAACTACAATTAAATAAATTCCTAATTTCCCTTTTATTCCAAAATAGGTTATTTTATATATAAAAATAATATTACATACACCATCATCACCGTAAATCAAAAATATTGAAATTGAATCAGAAACAACATACAAGATTTTTTCTTTAATTATAAGTATAGGGCACTATATAACTCAAACTTATTTCCAATTATTAATTTCTGCATTATCAAAACGTTCGTTCGAGAATCACCTTCAATAACTATACAACGTTGTTTTAGCCAATATACATATAGAGAGACAATCTGTTTCTAAACCCAAAAAACAAGATCCTTCCTTTTTTTTCTTTATAGTATTCGGTTTGTTGTATATCCCTTTGCATCATATTTCACCAAAACTACAATTTGTTACTCATGAAACATTTCTAGTTTGTTCGTACGGCTTTCATAGATTCATATAGGCAGCCAGGAAAAAAATTGAATTTGCAGCGTATTTGTATGTGTGGGATTTGTTTGCTGATGTATTATTTGGTATGTTTGTAATTTTGTGGTGTATATAAACACAGCATTTTCAGGATGATAGTTTGGGGTAATGTAATCTGTTCATCTATTCTTTAAGGTCTGTGTTTCTTGCTGATGTTTGTTTGAGAGTGTGGTTTGATTGGCCTGAGAGAGCTTTGGAGGTGGTGGTTTGAAAGAAATGATGAGCTATCAAAGGGAACACTTGGACAAAATACAGCCAAGAGGCACAGGTACCCTGACATTAACGATTTCAGTTAGGAAGGGGACATAACTTGTGTTTGGGACCAAAGTTAGGACAAGATTGTCTGTCAAATTATACGACAATCCAGGTACACATTGATTTAAAGGTCAATTTATGAGTATTTGACCCGAAACGAACAATATCATACCAGTGGAATACTTGATTCATCAGTTCTCCCGCGGGTACTTTCTCACGGAATTGATGTTTGTTTGAGAGTGTGGTTTGATTGACCGAGAGCTGTGGAAGTGGTGATTTGAAAGAAAGGACGAGCTGTGAAGGGGAAATTGGGACAAAATACAGCCAAGAGAACAGGTGCCCTTACATTTACGATTTCAATCAGGTTTGGGATACAATCAATATTTATGAAATCGTACTCTATTAATGATTGGATAAAACCTTATAATTGGAATCTATATTAGTATGCAGTTTTTAGTAGAATGAGATTATTGAACAAAGATTTTAGCACAAAATACTATTTTCGATACAATTTTCCAAGTTTGGATCAAAGTTAGTACAACATTGTTCATCAAAACAGTTTTTTTATATAATGGTGAGAACTTTATTATTTTTGTTCAAGAGAAAGGAAAGCCAAGAAACCCACAGCTTCACAAGCAGTGAGAGCCATGGGAAAATGTTCAGTGCAAAGGAGAAGAAAAACTGTACAAAGGTATTTCAACCTTTCAACTATAACAGTTACTTCTTCCCGAATTGAGCGAACTCGAAACTCATGAATTTTCTTATATAACTTGCATTCTGGATCTCCTTACTCTTCAATGAACCCTAAATTCACAAAGTTTTCAACCTTTCCGCCACATTTTCAACATCTTACAACAAGATGGGGAAAAATCAAAAAAAGAAAAGACAGTCATTCTGTTTGGAACAAAACAGGGGTGCTTTGTTTTTTCACACCCCAACAGCTTTCCCATTCCCGCTGTTCCTGTCTTCTCAGAGATAAAATGTGGTGGGGGAGAGCCTGATTCATGGCTAAACCACAGTTAAGAACCTAAACCGCTAGCTTAATAAGGTTAAACAAAAAGGGAGACTTAGGGTTGATTAGATGTGAGCTTTTTTTTGTCATCAGATTCTCTTCTCAGACGCATCTGAGGTCAAGGAAGTTAATGAAGTCATCGCTCTCATCCTCCAGGAAATCCAGGCCACTCCCACCAGGGATATCCAGCAGCTGCTTCAGCGCCGTGTCCGAGTAATTCGTGAACTCGTTCGTCGTCGAAGTGATGGAATCCGAGCTACTCATCATCACATCTAGATGACACGGTTTCGTCTCCTCCATTCCCTCGTAGTAGTAGCACAACCCTCCCTCGATCTCGTGCTGGTGGTGGATTGCCTCGCTAGAAGCGCTTCTCTTGATGGTGGCTGCTGCATTACAAGTCTTCGTCGTAGTAGTAGTGGGAGTAGTAGTAGCGAGAGTGTCATCATCGACAGACCCAGACCCCAATTTCGTGAGGGAAGATGCTTGTGAAGTCGAGCTCTCGCAGCCACCTCCTCCCCTGCCATCTTTCTGGACCTTGTTGATGTCTCTAAACGATTTGCCGATGTCTGAGTTCCATAGTTTGAGATAGTAGTCCTGGTCGAACTTGTGTTGCTGCTGCTGTTGTTGTTGTTGTCCTGGCCGCAAGGAGGAGAGGCGAGCCTCGGCTTCCACCCTGGTGCTCTCCCATTGCGCAATGTGACGAGTAGTAGTTGCAAGCGGGGAAGAGGAATCCCCCTCGATCTTGATGTTGGTGCTTGGTAGAGCAGGTGGGGGAGTTGAGAGGCGTTTCTTAAGGTGAGTGTTCCAGAAGTTCTTGATCTCATTGTCCGTTCTTCCTGGCATATGGGATGCTATGGCTGCCCACCTGCGATTTCTTCAGCAAGTTAGGATTATTTAAGGTGGGAAATGGGGACTCTCGAGTATGAAGTTCCTTTGAAGGCAGGACAGTTTGGAGAGTTTTATACTTACTTGTTTCCAAGCTCGCCTTGGAGCCTAACAATGGTGGCTTCTTCATCAGGGGTGAAAGGGCCTCTTTTGATGTCGGGGCGAAGGTAGTTTGTCCACCTCAGTCGACAACTCTTTCCACATCGAAGAAGACCTGTCACTCATCCAACATTTTAACAATTCAAAGATGTCAAATATTTGTTGTTTGTGATATCGTAACGTGCACAAACCAGTTATACGGGTTAAATTATGTAGCAATGAGCAAGCTAACAAGATCGTATGATGATTCTACTATGTATACGACTTGAACCGTTAGTTTGTCCCATTGAACATCCTCTATATTGTTGTGCTTGTTACTTCAAAGCATTCGAACTCACCGATCTGAACCCCGATATCATTCCACAATCGAGATAAATGACTCTTCATAATCAAGTGACTCTATGATTGCTGAAGACCATAATGTTCAATTACTCTTGACTGATTAGTCTCACCGATTGAACTAACTAGACTCACTGATTGGAACTCCAATATGGTTTCACAAACATGGTACACAACACTACTCATCCTAGTAATAGATGGTTTCCCTCCCAATTTCATCAAGTAGCCCAATTCTTCCAAACCACCAAACCCTAACATAAACAGTTTCTGAAGTAAAGCAAGACAGAAACTGACAGTGAAAAGGGGGGAAAGCAAACAACTAAAGAAAGACAGAGATTTCACGAGAAGGCCAAATCGTGCGGGTGATGGGGGCAGAGTAAGAGAGCTTAGCACAGTGAAAGGAAAATGCCAAAAAGATGAAGTCTTTTTGCGATTCTGTCTTTACTCTCAACAAACCCAAAAGCCAATCTGAGAGAAAGCGAGAGAGAGAGAGGGAAGGAAGGACATACCTGCATTCTTAGGAAGGGTACGCCAGCTACCATGGCCATGCTTGTTGATGTAATCAAACAGAATTTGGTCTTCCTCAGAGCTCCAAGCTCCCTTTTTCACTTCATCTTTGTCGCAGCAAGGAGTCCTCCCCATCTCTCCTCCTTTCCCCTCTCCTTCTTCTTCTTCTTGACAAACCCAAACACACACAAAACCCAGAATCAGAAAGGAAAAGAGACAGCCAGCTTTGAGAGAGCACTGCCGCAGTGATAAAAGAAATGGAGATGTAGAATCATTAAAGACGGAAGCTTTAAATGAGAAAGAGAAGAAGAGGAAGCAGAATGGGATTGATGAGATTTTTTTGGGTAGTCGTCAGAAGCCAGGGGAGAGACGGGGAAGTAAATGTGAAGAGAGAGCCCCAAAAGCAGGGCAGTCCCAATTGGGGGCCATGGCCATGGGGTGAAAGTAAAATCCCGGGTCTCGCATTTATTGGCATTAGACCCAGCAGACTGATCAGTTTTCTTTCTCTTGCCAGTGCCAGATTTCGTTTCATCAATTAGTAAACAGAAGATGGAAAGGTGCCATCTCCAGAACCCCAAATCCGGTCACACTTTAATGCACAGCCATTTCAAGGCTTCGGTCTTTGGAATTCAATTTACAGAGAAAAATACACAGACCCAGATCATGTTTACACAAACCCAGATCATGGTTGTTCGTAAAGCTTGAGAATTTGGAGGAGGAATTGGGAATTTTGTGGAGGAAATTTACCTTTGGTGTTGAAGTAGTAGGGGTTTTGGGGGGAGTGAAGCAGAGAAGAGAGTTGCGGCAGAGAAAAGGGAAGTCTTTTTGTATTACTCAAGTGTGGGTTACTTAATACTGCTCTCATTAACGCACATTTGACTCTTTGGAGGATGAAACAATGTTCTTTCTGTGAGTTTGAAAACGCAAAGATTGACAAGTGGCCACTTTCATAGCCGTACCTCCTGCCACACACGTTTCCTGTTCCATCATACTTGTCATTTACATTACACCCCACTATTTTCTCCATTTTAAATTATCATTTTTTCATGAAATTTATTACTTAAAGACCTTTTAATTGTGAATTTTGCATTGATTAATAAAGTTGAGGGGTTAAACATATTAAATATAATTAATATGGTTACCAAATAATTCTACTTTTAGGTGTTCAAAACATTGCAGTCTCTCGGACAAGGATCCTCTCAGATTGCAAAATCGTTATCGACGTCGTTCACTCACTTGACAAGAGAGATTTTTGGCAAATTATGACTTTGATTCAACGTATGCGTCATTTCCTCACTCACAATGATAGAATCAAAGTTGAGTTTGTGTCTCGTTCATGTAACAAAAGTGCAAATTAGGTGGCTAAAGAGGCAGGTTTGATGGGTTTGTAGTTTGTACCCATACCCATTTACTTGGGTTGAGTTTTTAACAAATGGATTTAGATTTTATCCATGCCCAAATTCAAATTACAGTTTGATATCTAAACTTAATAGATATGAATGTTTAGTACTTTTTTTTTTTGCATATAAGTCCACAAAACATCGATGGGAAATCACATTCAAATACCTAATTTGTTTGGCCTTACATTTTGGTACCTAAACTTTTCAAGTTTTACAAATAGGTCCAATTTTTATATGTGTAGTTAAAACACCTTCAAGTAAATGAATATCCATATCCAACCCATACCCATTTAGATTATGGAAGCAATATCCATACCTTACCCAAACTCATCTACAAACCTCCAAACCCCATATGCATTTCACCCATACCCAACCCAACCCATTATCAATGGGTCTACTTCGGTTTGGGTATAATTACCCATTAGTGGGTAATTGCCATCCTTACATCGGAGTGTGTTGGTTTGAATCTCTTTTTGCATTATCGGTTTAGTGTTGTAAGGAATTAAGGATTGTTAGATCATATTAAAAGTTGTATTGAATAAATTAAGGATATAATATTTTATTATTGAATTATGGTTTAATCATTTTATATTGATGGAACCCTATATCAGTATGACTCTGGTAGCTTTTTTGCATGCACATGGTGGTAAAAGTAACTAGAGATTATGATTAATGGTAGTCGGTGCAATGGGATTTGGGGGGAAGAAGTAAGAAATAGAAGGAACTATAGTGAGGTTCGTGAGAAATGGTAAATCGAGTTGTCTTCCAGGAGCTTGTGGCCTGAACTGTTAAAGCCTTAAATGGACTGCAACCCGAAATTTGTCGGCGACTTCGTACTATGAAGTTTCATTGCTATGCCTTAAACCATTTATTTTCCTTCACAACCGCCCCATCATCATTTGTTCCAAAACAGGGTGGCAATGGAGTGTTAGGGCTTGTTTGTTTGCATGTTAGGATTTTCTGCCGATAAAAAACTGATTTCATTTCATTTCTGGACTGAAGACTCAAATGCTAGTAAAAGTCACAATACAAAGTGAATGAATGATGTAAGTCTCCATCTGATAGTAACTTTCCGAGTTGACTTTGGCTTCCACTCCAACAACCTATTCCTACTACTCTAGGGATGAAACTTGAACGGTTACTACAACTGGAAGGTACGTGGAGAATTTTTTTTGTTGCCAGAACAAACTGGATATAGCAGTGATATATGCATAGTTTCCAATCATGAATTTGATGCGTGACAGCATCTTGGGCTGAGTCCATTCGTATTATTATTATTATTATTATTATTATTATTATTATTATTATTATTATTATTAAATAATAATAATAATAATTATTATTATTATTAATTATTATTATTATTATTATTGTTTTATTATTATTATTTGTTGGGATATTCGGTTATTATTCGGGTTATTCGTATTAGTTTGGGTCTAGAATTATTATTTACGTATCTTGTTTAGGAAGTATTCGTTTACTTGTTGCTTTAGGTTTGGGTTTACTTGTCTTAAGAGGAAAGGGGTTTGTAGGATTAGTCCTATAAATATGTACCTTTGCTCTTTGTTTTATTCAGTCGATCAATAAAGTATTAGTAGTTAGTAGAGAAAAGTAGCTCTTTTATCGTGTTTTCTAGTTCTTTCACTAAATCGTTCGAGATCACCGGTGCGTGAAATCTCGTCACGCATCAGAATTATTAGAAGATTCTCATGTATATATATTGCATTTATGAAGGTCCTAATTTTCTAGCGGATTTCTTGGTTTGCAAAGGTTTTTTTAAAGTTTCTATCTTGTGCTAAACAATTTTTTATATTGGGATCGTCATAAAGATGTGAATACGATCTCTCAATCAAAGATTGTAATACTATGTTAACGAACAAATAATTTAAAATCAAAGATTGTAATACTATGGATACTCAGCTTCTGCAGATGAACGAATAACAACTTTTTATTTCTTGGTTCGCCAAGAGACATGAGCAGAACCCAGGCTAACATAGAAACCTGTAGTAGAACGACGAGTGGTCTGACACCCACCACAATCAGCGTCGCAATAGGCCATGAGATCAAGCGAGCCGTGAGCGGGAAAGAACAAACCCTGTCCAGGAGAGGACTTTAGGTAACACAGTATACGCATGACTGCATCCAAATGGCCCTGCGTAGGAGCATTCACAAACTAACTGAGGATATTCACCCCATAGGTGATATCAGGACGAGTAACTATCAAGTACTGAAGACGACCAACTAGACGACGGTAAGAAGAGCCATCCACCAACTTTTCAGAAACCGAAGGGGGAGTGAGTTGATGATTCTGTTCCACAGGAAATGAACTGGTTCGAGCGCCTTGCACACCTGCTTCTTCCAAGATGTCAAGGGTATATTTTCGTTGACTGAGAATAACACCACTAGGTGAGCGTGCAACCTCAAGTCCAAGAAAATATCGAAGAGACCCAAATCCTTGATGCTGAAGCGCTTGTCAAGAAAGGCTTTGACCCGGTTGATGAAGTCCAAGTCGTTACCAGCTAAGAGCACATCATCAACATATATCAACGCAACAACAAAAGAGTCACCATGTCGATAGACAAAAAGCGAATGATCGGCTAAAGAGGGACGAAACCCAAGTTCACAAAGAGCAGTAGAGAACTTGTGGTACCAGTTACGAGAGATGCTTGCTTAAGTCCATATATGGATTTCTTCAAACGACATACACGAGAGTCTCCTGGCTGCTGAAAACCCAGGGGCACCCGCATATAAACTTCTTCTTCAAGATCACCATAAAGAAAAGCATTATCGACATCTATCTGTTGAAGATGCCTACCTCGCTGAACTGCAACAGCGATAAGACAACGTACTGTGACGATTTTAGCAAACGAGGCAAATGTGTCATGATAATCCACCCCTTCAACCTGCAAGTATCCCTTGGCAACAAGACGAGCTCTGTATCGCTCTATATTATCATCTGGTCGGTACTTAATCTTGAAAACCCATCGAAAATTAATTAAACGACGACCCGAAGGTAGCTGAGTGAGAACCCAAGAACATGTAGCTTCCAGGGCCGCCACCTCCTTGCGCATGGCTGTGCGCCAACGTGGATCAAGAATGGCCTTTTGCCAAGTTCGAGGTTCCTCATTGCTAGTAACTGCTGCAAGGAAAGCACGAAAGGTAGAGGAAGCTTTATCATAAGTTACATAATTAGAGAGAGGATACCTGACGTTGGAGACTAATTACTCATATTCTTGATCAGTATCATAAGCATCAAGATACTTTGGACGTTGATGCTAGAGAAGACCACGACCAAGGGCTTCTTCGACCTGAAGTTGAGTGACGGGTTGAGTGACGGGAGGTAATGACTTCGGTGACTCCTATTCATGTCCCGAAGAGCTCGAAGAGGGCGGGCTTGCTGATTCGGCAGTCGCTGGTGTGGGAGACACCTCACCAGCTGGTTCGGATTGACTGGGTTGTGACGAGGACGACAGAGGATCAACGACAGGAGCAACCTTCACACTCGTCCCCAGCTATGGCAGGATGTGAAGTAATACTATCATCAAAAACTGCACTGGGAATCCAATGGTACTCACTGGGATTCGGACTCTAGAATGGGAAGTGAGCTTCGTGAAAAACAACGTCACAGCTAACAAACACCTTTTGTGCGGCCAAATCATAGAGAACATATGCTTTCTTGGTCGCTGCATACCCAATAAAAACACTAGCACGCCCCCGTTCCGCAAACTTGTGTAGACCACTGCGATTATCTTTCGCATAGACAAGAAAAACAAACACCCTTAGATGTGTGTAGGATGTTGGTTTACCAAACAAGACTTCATAAGGTGTTTTTCCTGTTGCGGTGGTGGGCAAACGATTAATTAGATAGACTACTGTGAGTATGCACTCACCCCAGAACTGAAGTGGTAATCCTGCCTGAAATCTAAAAGCACGAGCAGTATCCAGCATATGTCGATGCTTACGCTCGACAACAACATTTTTCTATGGTGTGTCAGTGCAACTAGTCTGCAGGATG